TAAGAAATGTATCCAAACTGGAAATATTTGTAGTAATATTAGTAAATAATTAATGTTAGTAATCAGCTATTTCGCTCGTGTAATGTAAGAAACAACAATTCATAATATAAACACCCAGATCAAAAGATTAAACGAGCTCTAATTTCAAAGTTATTAATTTATTGTAATCTGCATTACAATCTCTAAACGGATTTGCAGTAATATTTTGTTATTACTGTTAGGTGATGTTATAGACTAATGGTGTCATCAATAATATATATAATGTATACATATACGTATATATAATATTAATGTATATTGATGTATAAATTATTCTGTGGTTTTAATAAATTAGCTGTATGTTAGCCAAATGAAGTCCTAAGTCAGTTTACGTTAGGAACGATAATGATGAGTACGATGAATTCTATAGAACAAGCTACACGTCCTTTGTTGCTGATGTATCATGTTTTCGGTTTAGGCATTTATACTTCAAAACCTTATTTGAGTACATTATACAATGTGTCACTGTGGTGCGCTTACTGTTACCTTTTTCATTATACAGTGTTTGCTGTTGAAGCAGAAAATTGGTTTTTAGCATCTTCTACTTTAATCATTAATGGAATTAATTTACTTGTCACTATATCATCTATTATTATGAGTTTACGTCAATATAAGGTACATACATGTTCAACACCTAAATATACTTATTTAAGTTAGTTACAAATAAAATTTTTTTGTAAATGCTACTCAAGCAATACAAAGTCTAAAATTGCGACATAAGACGTCTTTGATATGTTTTTTAAACATAAAAAACGTCTCATGATCCGATTTTAGATTTTGTTGTCTGGGTACTTACAATAAATAAATAAATTGTATATTCTTGTTTAATAATGTTCAGAGATTGCGAAAATTCATAAAGAGACTTGCTGCTGTAGATGATACATTAGAAGAATTAGGCACTCTTAAAATATATCGAAAGTTACATATACGTATAAAAAAAACATTAATTATATGGCTAGTATATACTCAAATGGCAAATGCATTTGACATGACGTGGTTTTATGTCTATATCGGGAATCAATGGAGCATGATCACGCCTTATATTACGAATCATATTCAAAATGTTAATATATTTGTGGACTTAATATTTACAACTTATCTATGGTATATATATTATTATATTAAAAATATTTATGTATACTACATTAATCAATATTTGTTTTAGAAATAAATTATTATCGGAATAAATTTTTTTTAAAAAGTAATATTTTTTAATAAAAATAATTAAAAATGACATATATAATCTATTATACATATAATTTTGAAACTGAAATAATATTTAATATAATATTTTTATAAATTTAAATCAATTTTTATTTAAAAACTAGATATTATATATATATATATAACTTTATATATACTTTTTAAGATGTATCGTATTCACTTTAAAATTATAAAATCTTTCCTTTGCAGGTATATTGGCACTAGATTTGATAAGTTAAATGAACATATGAGATACTTGTTGTTGAGAGAAGAACATGGTTACTACTGTATAACAAGATATATACAGAGAGACATAGTAGTACCTTCTCATCGATATATTATGTGTATTAATAATTACAAGCACGTATTCTGGATTATAATGTAAATCAGTACACCAAATACTTGACTAGATTACTGTTTAATTTTGGTCTGATCTAACATTGAATAAAAGTGCCCTATAGAGCATACTTTATCAGAGAAATATTTGGGGAACGTTCTTAAAAGATATTCAGGTGATATAGATATTGTCCTCTGGACATCTTTAAAATGTTCCATGAAAGTCTGTGCTGTAGGGGGCTGTATTTAAAATTTTTTTTACAGCAAAAATTTGAAATTTAGTTAATATAATCTATGATATTTAGATAAACAAATTATTTTCTAAAAATTTATTATTTTTTATGTTTTTTTTAATAATTTACAATTTTGATATTTTTATATAGGCATCTCCATTTGGAATTATGCCAGCTTGCTCGTGAATTAAACGCAATATTTGATATACAGATAACGTTGTTAACAATAACTTATGTGACATGTGTGACAAGAATACTTCGTTATCTCTTTATACGTATACAAACAAATAATTTCGTATGGCTAACAGATTGGAACAATGGTGTTTGGCTGTTTTTATACGTATCTAGACTTTTTTGTTTAAATAATATCTGCGAGAGTGTTAGTACTAAGGTAAACCCATATATAATTATTAAATAACACCTCCCGTGGCCAAAAGTCTGAAAACTTATGATTTTTTGTAAAATGCGAACCAAGTTTATGTTTTTTCACATTTCACAAAAAAATTTATCTCAATAAAAAAGAATTATAGAGTTAAGTTTTCTATCATACATTTTAAAGCACACAATTAAGCTTTCTAAGCTTTTAAATGCTTTCACAAAAAAATTGATATAATAATTTTTCGCAAAGGTGTCGAAATTTTTTATTGTATAAAATTTTATTGAGTAGAAACTTTTTAAAATTAATAATTAAAGAAAACTTTTTAAAAATTTTAAAAAATTATACGAATCAAACACATTTTAACAAACATTTTTCATTTTTTGTCTTTTTTTTATAAGTTTCTTAATTTTGAAGTTAAAAAATATTTTTAAAAAAGTAAGTTTACACAATAAAATTTATACAATAAAGTAATTTAATATCTTTGCGAAAAACTATTATACCAATTTTTTCTAAATATTATTTTGAACTTTTAAAGTTTACAATTTGAAAACTTACTTTAAATTTTGTCCAATGACAATTTCATTGAGCTGGAGCATTTCAAAGAAACATAAAAATATTACAAAAAATGTTAATTTTTTATTTTAATTAATTTAGAAACAAAATGTTATAGAAAAAAATGTTAATGCAGATTTAAAGCCTTATCTTTGTAAATACTTTAAAATGCTTTTTTTTTATATATATAAAATGCGTGTAAAAGTTTTCACTTTTCAAAAACTTCTTTATGATATTTTTCCACCGAGATACATAATTTCTTGAAAAACGAAAAAATTGGAAGTGTTTCCAAACTTTTGTCTGGAAGTGAATATATGTGTGTATATATACATACTATATATATATATTTGGTTATTTATATATGACTAATTTTAGTCTAACGAAATGAATACAGTAATCCATCGATTAACATATATTCCTCAATATGTTGATATCCGTAACGAGGTAAAATAAATTTTAATAATATCTATTAGATAATTGAAGTAAATTACTTAAACTTAAGTAACAATCACTGTATGCAGATTTACCAGTTTACACTACAAATAATACATCATCCATTAAAATTGTCTGGACTAGGTTTTTTCCATTTTGGTAATGACTTCTTGCGAAAAGTTCGTTTGTATATTTATTCTATTTTATTAAATATTTTTTAATTTTGTATATTTTGCACTAAATTACATCTGTTACCAAACGTTTATTATTGCTACCTGTTAAATAAAATTTAGGTAATATTTTGTAACATATTAGAATAAAAATATAAATCTATGTACAAAAAACCGGTTTAAAATATTCTTTTTATTTATTATTAAAATTATTGCCATATTAAAATTTACTCAACATTAAATATTTCTTTCAGATTGCCATGACAATTGTGACGCTTTTGGTTATCATCATTCAAATGCCTAGAATTAAAATTTTTGTAGGCTATTAAAAATATGATTAAGTTAATATTCCGAAGAAATACAAAGTGTGATATAAAACATGAGAACTGTTATTTGCAAATCAAAAATTCTAAATGCTCATATTGTTTCTTGATAACATGAAAATAGAATTAGAACTTTATAAATAATTACACATATTTTACTTCTCAACACTCTATCCATCTAAAAAATCTTACCATAAAATTTTATTATAAATCTTTCAGCAAATCTTTACGTAGCAGTTAAGTTTATAATTTATTAATAATATATTGTACTATTTATTACAAGTGTATCGTGAGTAAATATAATAACTCATATTAAAAAGTCATTATTTTTTATTATATAAAAAAACTACAGCATGCAGTACATGACAACTTTACAATGGATTATAGTAGTCTGTGGAGTTATAATTACTTGGAAAAATGATCTATACTTGCATAATAATTTGACAATTATAACGTTTAACTTTTGGATACTTTTGTATAAGATGAGAAACTGATAGATTCTTATCTTAGAGAAGAGCCATCTCTCTTAGAGATGAGAATAGACGCATTCCTAAACTAACTTTCATATTCACTTCCGCGATCGCCGTCTGATTCCCTTTTTCGATTTTTGAGATTCTGTACCATCGTACTCGACTTCTCACGTTATTGAAGTACTCTTCAATTTACAACCCATCTGCTCTCCAGATTTTCCTGAGATAATAATAATCTATTGGAATTCCGCTACTATCTTTTTAATGCACTTCCGAATGAAAACATCCTAGTTTATCCCCCGGCACTCCCCTCCTTTATTCTGAATCTCTTCGTTATTTCAGAGATTTCCTCCTACTTATTCCTCCTGCTCCTCAACTCTCAAAAAATGCTCTTATATATACAAAAATATTTACAAGACATTTAAAATAAGTTTTGTAATACAAATATTTTGTAAATATTTTATAAATATTGTGTGCGTTGTTTGGGACAATCATGATTGCTCCTTGAGGGAACAAGCACAATCTTTAAATAACTAATATATGCTGTTCAAAAACATAAATATTATTGTGAAAAAGCTCGATTTACCATATTTATTACTGAAATTGAAAAACACTAATAGAAAAAATTATCCTTTTATTTATTCGATTATCACTTTTACATTCATATATTACATTAAAATTACAGCTATTTGACACATTTACAGTTATTTTTACAGCCTGTATAAACTTTGGATCTTTTTTGAAGGAAACATTTAGGGAACATCTATTCTGTAACTTTTAACGATTATAACTGTTACAGAGTTATTGTTTCTTTTGGATCACTTCTGATATTTTCGCTTTTAATGGCTTTTCATGACCGTTTCTCATTTTTCTTTCAAGAAAGATTTCTTTTTATTCTTTTAGAAGGGCGATTGTTGGACGCGTATTCTTTACCTTCATCTTTGTTCTCACGAATCCTTTTGCGATGTGAATGATGATGATGATGTTTCTTTCTAGGCGATATTTTAATTTTAGAACTTTTCATAGTTAATTTAAAATTCTTTCTCTGTCTTTTATTGTGCGTAGATATCTGTGATCGTTTTCTTTTCGTGGAATGAAAATGTTTTGTGCGATCTTTCGAGCGATCTGATTCAGTCTCGGGTGATTCGGACCATCTCCAGCTGCGATCTTTTTCGCTATTATCTCGATCGGATTCTTCCCATTTAGATTTACTTCTAAAAAAAACAAATGAAAAGGAATTAAATAATAGTAGAAACTTTTATAACAATTCACTTTTAATTTACTTTATTATACCGTATTAACTTATTTTTTTCATAATATTATCTCTTGGCAGAAATAAAAGTCACCGCCAGTTAAATGCAAGGAAAAAATAATAAATACACGAAACTTCTAGGAAGTATAATATATAAATTCAAAATGCGAAATATAAAAAAAACTTTTCAATAAACTTACGCTATGAATCATTCTTTTTATTACAATTGTTTTGCATAGCGTTAAGTCAAAACCTTATTGGTAAAACGATTATATATTAATATATATATCTTTATGATATATAATATAAACATGATAAAAATAAATATTTTGTCTATATAGGACATGAGTTTGATTGTATAATATAGCGTAGGATATAAATATATATCGAGGAAAGTGTAAAGCCTAATCGAGTCTTGAAAACAAGATGTTAATGTTTATTATATTGTGTGAAATTTATATACTGCGTATGTAGTCCCCCCCGCGACGCTGATAGATTTTCAGCATTGACGCATACATATTCACTACCGCAGTAATATCACTTTAGTTAAATTGAGAATCAATTTAACCAATTTTTGATGCCTATAGCATCTTATTAGATCTTAATAATATGTTGAAAGACATATATTAAAATTTAATATTAAAGTAATAATTTAAAATTTGTGAAAACTAAGTATATAAATTTCACACAATATAATAAACATTAACATCTTGTTTTCAAGACTCCATTAGGCTTTACACTTTCCTCGATTTTTAAATCATACGAGTCAATTATTATTATCTTTCATTATATATAAATATATAGTAACACAAACCTATGTTCGCTTCGCTTGCTGTCATTAGAGTTGCTTTTATCCCTTCGAGGACTCTTAATGTCGTACTTATTGTGCGGATTTCGAAAGGTGTGAAGAAAATTACAGAATTTACTGCCCTTCGGACACTTGTTTATGCCGCAAACGGCACTTCTCCAAGATGTGAAGTTGACGAATTCGCAGTTGAGTTGTCTGCCGGCATACCATCGTCCTTTCAGGTTTCTCCAAGCTCTAGCTGCTTCTCTCTCCGTGTAATACTGAACGTACACATTACCGCGCAAGTGAATTTCTTTATTGCAGCAACATTTAAGGGTTTTAATCCTGCCGAACGACTCCAGTTCAGTTATTACGTCTTCATAGAACTCGTAAAAATGATGCAATGTTTCTGATCTCTCGAATTCGAGAGCCACGTCAGTGTCATATTCTGCTAAGTTCTTCTCGAGGGAGAAATGTGAATAGAATCCGGGTATCAAAATCACTCTGCTCAGAAAGAATTTACGATGATTCTTGGAGCACGCATTTCCATATCTAAAATAATTAAAAATCAATTACACATAAATATCGAATTTAGAAACAAAAAGACAAATATAATTTTAACTAAAGTTGATTTTAGTTTCAGTAAAACGTTTCAATTCTAAATCTGAACTTACTTTCAATTGAATTCAATTCAATTTTAATTTTGTTTAATACAAATATAACTCTTAACATTTTCTTAACAGTTTCAAATCAATATTTTGAAAACAACTTGCCACATTCTTATCTCTCAATTATATATTCAGTCATTTATATATTTACATTCACCAGTTATTCTCATACTAATATATTCATAATAAATATTAAAATTTGAATATATTCAACATACATATAATACATATATTCGACATACTCCGAATTTCAATATTGTTAAAAATGATTAATAAATTATGATATTATAATATTGTGAATATATATTTCTCTGTACTAACCGGCAAGCACCTGTTTTCGAGAAAAATGGACAGAGTTCCTTGGTAGGTTGATTGTCGACGATTTCACGTAAAATTTCAGGAGTTTCAACTCCATTGTCGATGTAATCATTGATCTCCTTCTGAAGCTGTTCTTGTTTACGAAATTGTTCCTCTTGTTTTCTCTTTTCCTCATCTTTTTTCTTTAAAATTGCCACACGCTTTGCCTCAAGTTTTTCGCGAATCTTTATGTCCTGCTCCAGTTTCTCTTGCTCCTCCTTTGCTTTTTGTTCCTGAAGTTCTTGCCATTTTTTCTGCGCTCTTATCTGGACAATTAAACGACAATAAATAATTGTTTTAATTATACATTTAAAAAGCAATAGTTTATTTCAAATTTGCGTATAAGAACAATATTTTTTTTATATCTAAATAATTGATCTTTCCTATATTATTTTATTTTATAGATATAAAGATGTAAAAACGTTAATGTTACCAAAATATCTGACTGAGAGAGAAAATAAAAAAGTAAATAAAAAGTGTATAATAGCTAGGGCAAGATGCGGAAATTTGGAAAGAAATAATTGTTATTGGATAGATAGAGAAATAATGAACTGTGAATTGTGTGAAAGAGTAAAAGAAAGCTTAGAACACTGGATGTATGAGTGCGAAAAAATGGAGAGATGGAATGGAAGCGTGAATGGACTTTTAAGAGAGGATGGAAATGGATACGAATGGCTAAATAAGCTGAATGAAAAGTTAAATGTAATTAGAAAAGGAAAGAACAAATAGGGGATATATGAACTACTACTACTATATTATTTTATTTCTTATGAAAAAAATAACTTAGGAAGCAGAACACAATTTGCAAAATAATAAAATATTGTTTAATGTAATAAATATATCTTCATTTACGTTCATTAATGAGACAAAATTTTGTGTAAAAAGATAATTAGACACGTTATTGTTTTATACTAATTTATTTTACAAATTATTTTAAGTATATATAATATTATAAATTATATTATTCTTTTTATGTTTATATAATTTTAAATAAAACAAAATAATACAATACAGTTTATATAGGTTTATATGATTAAATATAAGATATAATTGAGCCGACACAAGTAAAACGTATGTAAATTGTTGTTCCTTCAAGATTAAAATCTAAAGTGATCAAAACATGAGCAGTATAATAGAAACTTGTACACAAAGTCAAAAAGAATAACAATAAACATTTTATAATTAATTTTATATTTATATTATATTTTCATTTTATATCAAATTAAATTTACATACGTTTTACTTGTGTCGGTAATTATACCTTATTATATTGATTTAAATAAAACGTTTCTTGGATTATAAAATTACATAGTACTTTTCAATATAATGTACCAATAATAATTTAAATATTTCATATTTTATATTCGACCTAGAAAAAATTTTGCTTGCGGCGCGTCAGTGGCCTCCTCCTTGGCAAATTTCTGATTCCGTTACTGATTATATAATAATATAATATCAATTTTTTATTCTTATTCCGAATTTTAAATTTTAACAAAGACGCGAACTATAATAAGTTTGTCTTTAGTAATATCTCGTCGGTGTCAACTGTCATGCTAATGTAAAAAAATATTGAAATTTATACTTTTTTCATAACATTTCAAGTTATAAAAAGAAATTTCATTAAATTCTTTAAATAAACCCTATTACAATATTTTTTTTATCAATATGTAAGAAATATGTGCAATGTATAATGTTTTAAAAATATAATGAAATTATGAAAAAAGTTAGAGAAGCCAATAAAAAAAATTTCTAAGAAAATATTTAATTGTAATACAGTATATATATTTACTTCTTCTTCTAGCCATAGTCTCTCTCGTTCCGCACGTTTCTCTTGTTCTCGCGCTTCTGTTTCTTTCTCTTGTTTCTCTTTTTCCGCGCAAAATTGCATATATTCCACATTGTTTTCCAGTGCTGCCCTCAAGCGTTCTTCATTGGCGTCGCGTTCTTGAGCCAATAACCGTCGCTTACGCCTGCGACGCTCCTTCTTCACAATGCAACGCCACTCCTTATGACTGAGCTTCGTTTGTTTTGAACGTTTTTCCATCCTCACATATCCCTGAGAACAATGGCAAGACTGGCAAGTATTATCGACAACGTACGAGACACTAAAAATAATCACGTTGAAATGAACCTGCGGTCAACTATTAGCATCGATGTACGACGAGGTCCGACGCCATATTGAGTTCCGACAACTACATGATGCAAGGCTATGGCCTGATCGTCGGTATACAAAATATTGAAACAGAAGAATGTTAATTATATGGAAGCTGCAAAACATTATTTGTGATATCAACACTTGGTGCAACACTGATTTTTTAAATTCTGTATTTTCTATTTTGAGTTACGCGTACTTGTTTATTGATTTTATTACAGATGAATTTATTATGCTTTTATATATTGTTAATTGTGTTATTATTATTAAGATTATTTGATAATATATATTGTATTACCCATATGTTATTAAATAAAACAATTTATATTACAATGTATTTTTACATTGTTTATATCGTCTGTAGATAATACCTATGTTTACTGCTTCACCGAAAGATGGAGACACTATAACTATTCTTGCATGTATATCGGTAAAATGGGATTGATAGAATATCACGTCGAGCGCGCAGAAAAATTATGAGATTTTTAAGTATTTCTATACAATACGTGTAATATTATATTTATTATAATATCAAGCACTATTCTAGATGTTTAGAATATTATATATAAATATATTATTATCTAATATAAATATAGATATTATTTTACAATGTAATCTTCTGAAATATTAATAAATAATTATATGTCAACTTTTAATGATAATTATAATTATTAAGAAAATAATATTATATAAATATTAATAAGAAAAGGTTCTACCAAAATAAATAAAAAAAAGTTTTCAAGAACCAAACGCAAGAGATAAACGTGTGTAAATAACTTTATATTCGAATAATACAATTATTATACCTAGCGTTTGGTCAATTTGGATCCTTCTCAATATAAAATTTTTTTGATACAAATGACAAGTATTCGTCATATAATTAAGAATCGCAAGGCATAATAAAGTTTCTGCTGCGTGTATGATGTGTGCAGTGATGCTTGCGTAAGTCATAAGTTCAAATGCGTGTTCATTATAATTTCCAAGTTAATTAAAAATAAATTACAATTCTTTTATAAAATCTTAATGACATAATTAAATATAAAAATCTTTTGATTAATTCTGAAACTTACATGACAAACGCCTGGGCTAATGAACTTGTCGGAGACAAATATGACGGACATAGTCAAAATTATGTATTGTATAAACACATTAAAAAAAACAAAGAGCGGGAAGCATCAAGTCTTTGTAAATAAATTTATACATATTGGGTTAAAAGACTTAATGTCATTTTTAATATTCAAACCATTTATTTGTTTCTTAATAAAATTCATTTTAGACATTATATAATCTTTTATGTAAAAATTCCTCTTCATCTAGAATTTTTATATTTTCCCAGTCAAACTCGTGGGAGAATTCTAATCTATCGTAAAAAGCGAATGTTGCGTCGTATTCCAGTTGATTTGATTCTTGTATTATTCATTAATGGTTGCCTTTAAAATTCTTCTACTCCTACATACGATGCATTACAGCTCCTGCAATCTGTTCTACATACTACATTAAAATATGAGACAGAGTAAGAAGATTATTTTTTCGAACACGAATAAATTTTTTCAACTTATTAGTGCCCAGTAATATCATTTATTGTTATTGTGATATATAAACATAAAGTTTGGAGAATATTTTAATAATAAATTTATTCATAAAACTTTAGTTTACTGACATTAAAATATGTTGTTTTAATAAACTCAATTTTACATATACATATACTGTCTTCTGCAGACAAGGCCAGCTTCCTTAGTTATTTAGCTTGTTTACCGAGCATTTAATACGCGCGTAATAATCAGTGTAACTTTCTATTAAATTATTTTAATTTTTTAATTTCAATGTATAATAGTATACATGATATGTACCAATTTAACATACCAGTTTAATATATCATTCTTCAAATGTATTACCAAAATTAAGATAATAAATAGAAAGTTACTACGCGATAGTTAGTACGCGTATCAAGTATGTACTTGATGTAAACTAGAACATTAATTTCTTACACTTTTACTCTGCTGTTTGACCGTATTCGGAATAGTTATTAAGGCATAGCGTTTTTTCATTCGATCTACTCTTTTATTGTTTTAGCAATTTTTTTATATTTACATATATTCTATATAATCATTTAAAAAAACAAGTAATTTTTATATTTTGTAACGTTATGATGTGCAACATGTAATTGATTTTGACTACGAATTTTCACGGTTTTATAAAAACAATTAGAACTTTAAGTTTAAATACGAAAGATTTTAAGGTCTGAAGGATTCAAATAGAATATTGATATATTATTTTGACTTGCGTTGAGCAAATTTATTTTATCTTTAGTAGTTTCATCAATTAAGCGATGTATTTAAGTGATCTGACGCACTTTTTGGAATGCTCCGATAAGTTTATTATTTTTTCTCAAGTAGAAAATTAGAATTCTATAGATATTAGAAATATATTTATGTGTAAATATATTCGTTAATAATTAAATTTTTCGATAAAGTAAAATTTAATTATTTAAAGAATCAATTTTATTATTTGCGTATCATCCTGTCTTTTTAAATAGCTCAAATTGCCGACAAGTGTGTTATTTCTGCAATAAAATATTAAGTGTTTTTACATAATATTATACAAAAATTTTTTTTAATTATTTATTATGTATAATATAAAAGATAAAATAATATATATATTATACATTTTATAAGGTGATCAGCGAACTCAACATTTTAAACAGTTTAAAAAGATTATTTAAAACATAGAATGATACAAAATATACTATAATAAAATGATAAAGATGCAAAATTGTAAGTTTTATATAAATTAATAAATATTGACTCAATTTGCTTTTATATTTTCCTTCCAGCAGTTGGTGAATTATTTCCTTATTAGGAATATATATATTTTCGCTTGCTACGTCCCTGAACCGATACCGTTATACCTGGCGGAGCGTTGAACCAGAAACCGGTGCAGTGGAACCACGACCGTCATTCTACGATATACTACTGACAGGTGTACCTGAGTCCAAAATCAGTAGAGTTATTTTTGCGTAAACTTATTTTGTTTGTAAAGATGTGTAAATAACGACATGGTAGGACATGTAATTATTGTTTGCGTGGAATTCCGTAAAATCTCCGACCAGGATAAGTAAATTGTCTTGCGATTAGTCGATAGTGATTCAAAATGGGTATTTTGTGACTTGTTGCTTTAGAAGATAACATGGAAAGAGCGAAAGAAAATGGATTGAATGATCCGGGGTACAAAAGTGTTAAAAGTAAGGTCTGGGCTTATTTTTTCTGGTTGTTCGGTGGACTCTTCGGAGCACATCATGTGTACCTCGGTAGGGACGATCAGGCATTCGTGTATATCAGCACATTCGGCGGTTACGTGGGTTGCGGTTTTCTCAGGGACATTTACAGAATACCTGCATACGTGGCCGATGCAAATGACGACCCGGCGTTTATCGAAGATTTTAAACAAAAAGTCAGAGCTAACAGAAAGGTAAATAAATATTCAGCGTTTAGAGTCTACAGGCTAACATAAGCCAGTGACGTTGCTAGTCTTGAAATACATTTCTTAACATCAACCTTATACTACGATTGGTACCATTAACTTGTTCTGCATCGCTGTTATTCGAAAAATTGATGACGTTGCGCGTTATATGATGATCACATAAATGTTGAACCGCAATTTACTCGCTGGCACGTAATGTAATTAAGGATGTAAATGTTGGCAAAATAAATGCGATTCGCGACTGATGCTTTGTAAACCGAAATCGGATTTATTATTACTTTTCTTTACAGCCACCGTTTTCCGCAGTGCGATTTGCGGCGCAAGCCGCGGTTGCCTACTTATGGGCTGAGCTGTTTAACAGTGCGATCCCGCAGGAGGAAGTGTACGGTATTAATTTCAGACATCTGCTGATCCTAATACCGGCTGTGATCGCATTAGGTAAGAATCATATTTCAAAGGAAAAAAATGTTTATTTAATTATCATCACGTGCATTTTCTTATCGCGCTTGTTACAAGTCGGTTTCTTCGAATGATAATATTTTAAGGTCGCAGCATATGACGCATGTTATTGGTTAAAAATAATCATTGATGATAAATGGAAAAAACTGGAAAAACCGACACTAAATCTGTTTTTACTGATTTTCTAACTAGCTTTTTATTAGAATATTGTATCTTAAATTTTAACGAGTTTTTTTATTTCGGAGACAGAATTTAGATTTTTTTTATATTCTTAGAATATCGCAATGGTGTAGTTATATCTCATTATAATATGTGTAAAAATATATATATAAAATTACATTTTTTATATTGTATATTATATTATTATACACATATTCGTTATTTATATTTCTAAATAAAATATTTTAAAGTGTAAAATAATTCGTATTATGTAAACAACAATTAAATATAAATAATGATCCATAATCGAGCCAATAAGTTTCTTATAAATAAATATATAGACAAATAATATGTACAAATATCTTATTCTATTGACATTGATGGTCACTTAAGATATTCCCCGAACAACGAAAGATTCGATGACTAATCTTTATAATGATTGATAGAGAGGTGAAACTTTACATCGTGTATTTTTAAAACTAAATTATTTCGGAAATATAATATGATCAATTTGTCATATAAAGCTTTTGTTTTAAATTAACATCAAGAATCACTACTTAAAATCTTTTAAAATATACTATTATACTTATAAGAACCTCTATTCGTGTATGTGTGTGTGTGCACGTGTATGTTATTATTCATATAACAATAATATTAAATTATACATACGTTATGAATAATTATAAAACAGAAATTTTACACAAAAAGAACGATTTTGCTAAAATGTATAAATTTAGTTAGATAATAATTTTATTGGTTCAAAAATAATGTTATTGATTATTAAAATAATTACTCAAAATGTTAAGCAGTGTTGCAAAAAGTTTTAATGTTCTAGTAATCAGTTTGAACATCCTCTAAAATCTTTGGAAATCTAATTTTAAAGAATGATAAAAAGTGACAATTATCAGTGATGAAAAAGAGTGACTCAATTGTCAATTTTTAAAAATGAGATTTCACTCTTTAGAATTATGTAGATTTCACTCTAAAAATTTTAGAAGGTTTTGATAATTTTAAAAATCATTTTTAGATCTTTAGCTAAATTTTTAGATACTTACCAAAAAAAAAACCGTCTTTTCCGTGTAGAAATTTAAATATTTTACAAAAATCTTTATTCAGTATTAATACTTCAATAGGTGTATGGACGGTCGGGAACATTGGAAGAGAAAAAGGTTCGATATGGATAACTCTTGCCACAGCGTATCTATTTTATCCAACCTTGTATTACATCGCCGACGATACAATGTGGATCTTCCTTATGGTAGTTACCTCGAGTCTCAGCTTCGATACTTTCAGCAAGCAATGGCGACTGAAACCGAAAAAGAGAAGAAGCTTTTTCCGGCGAATGGCATGCTTAGGTTTAGCTCTCACGCTCTACTTTGCTGTAATCGGTAGCTACTTATACTTCAACGCGGTTGTCACGGATAGCGAAGGTGAGGAGATCAAGTTATCAGAAGCGGTGCAACACTTCCTCACTTCGCCCATCTGGACAGATCTTAAAGTAGGTCTATGAAGAATTTTTTAATTTTTAACTCTCAAAAGTTGACAATGGGTTTATTGTACTCAATCAATTATATTCTCTATAATATCTGCAAATTTCAATTATTGTTATTAAAATGAGTTTATTGTTGTATTCATGTAAGTCATACATTACTTTGATTTTTGTGCAATTAATTAGTGCCTTCTAGTCAACGTAAATTATGTAAATATATATAAATGAATCTTATAGATCTAGCGTACAGATGTTAGTTTCAAAAATTAAACAGTAAATTTCTTATTAAGATTTGAGAGACTTCTTTCATGTATGCTGGTATTCTTTATTTTACAGGCGAGTCTGGAAGCCACGTGGAACCAAGCGAAACATCAAGGTTTCTGGGCAACGTGGGCGCAACTGGTGGACCTCACCGATCCTCGAGGCGAGATAAATGCTTACAAGGTCGGATAGTCGTTGATAAATTTTTATTAAATTTAATTTACTTAGGGAAAAAGTAGTTTAAGGATGTATCAGGTGTATACATATGAAATAGTCCAATAAAGTCAATATTTTTGTAATTACCATTTATAAAACGATAAATATGGCAGTTAAAGTAATCCGAAAACGGTGAATTTTGGTAACAAGGAATTTTCAGGGACTCTTTTAAAAACATGGTAAAAATTATGATAATTAAAAAAGTTCTGCACAAAAAAAAATTGTAACATCCCCAAGTGATTATTTTACACTATTACGAAAAATATAATAAACATAGGGTGGACAAACGAAAATAATGGGTGGACAAACGTGGACAAACAGTGGACAAACGAATGCAATAATGATTTTACCAATATTTGCATTTAGGGGTGCCAACTTCACAAAGCAGCTCTGTAAAGTTGGAATCTGTAAATGCGAATATTGGTAATATCATTATTACATTCGTTTGTCCACTGTTTGTCCACGTTTGTCCACCCGTTATTTTCATTGGTCCACCCTCCAAAAAAAAATTATACACAAAAAAATTATAATATCCCCAAGTGATTATTTTACACTATTACGAAAAATATATTAAGCATAGGGTGGACAAACGAAAATAATGGGTGGACAAACGTGGACAAACAGTGGACAAACAAATGTAATAATGATATTACCAATATTCGCATTTACAGATTCCAACTTTACAGAGTTGCTTTATGAAGTTGGCACCTCTAAATGCGAATATTGATAAAATCATTATTGCATTCGTTTGTCCACTGTTTGTCCACGTTTGTCCACCCGTTATTTTCTTTGGTCCACCCCGCAAAAAAAGGTTATACACAAAAAAAAATTGTAACATCCCCAAGTGATAATTTTTCATAATTATGTACGGGTATCGTTTGTCCACAACGCGCACGTGATTGTCCACCTATTATTTTCAATTGTCCACCCTATTTTTATTATATTTTTCGTAATAATGTAAAATAATTACTTGGTACGCTACTTTTTATTAAAATTTTTTATCCAGGCTTACCGTCAAACTTTTTTATATTATTTTCACACACAAATATAATATATAGAAGAATCTGTTTCTTTCATAATTTTTTGTTAAAAAACATGCATAAAAAATCCGTAATATTTTTTCATTTCCGCAGGTCCTAAGTTTGTCGCAAACCGCTTCGCAGAACGAAGTCACAGCACGATGGAGAAGTCTATCCAGGGACAATCATCCTGACAAGGTTAAAGGTTCGGAGGAGGAAAGGCGCAAAGCTCAAGAAAAATTCATGGAAATCCAACAGGCGTATGAAATTCTGTCTCAAGCGAAGAATCGCCGACAACGACGGAATCGTCGTTCTGAGAAATAAGCGTGATTTTAATTCGAAGGATCAACCAAAACAAAGACTCGACAAAATAATCTCCAAATACGCCAATCTCTGTGTTTCAATTGCGTATAATCAAAAGACAGTGAACTGATTAATAAGACATTTATTTAAACAATCATTTGATAGTAACTGCATCAATATAAAATCTTGTACGTAAAACGCGTGTATTATAAGTTAGGGGGAGGCCTGCGACATGTTAATCGCAATCCGTTCGATTATCTTTAGCACTTTAATCGGTAAGAAACCTCTGAAGCCTCGCTTCGGCGCGTGCTTCAAGCTCATATCAGATTAGAGATTAAGATTGAATTGAAATTTGATCAATCAAAGCAAAGTTTACCAAACTTGATTTGCTTTTCTTTCTACTGATTGGTTAAATCCCAATTCAATCTTAATCTCAATCCCTAGTCTGATACGAATATTACACATTCACGTTTTCTGGAAAAAATCGAGATTTCATTTATCGAGGTTGGGAGGAGGTAACTTTCAGTATCACGATCAACGCGATCCCTCGATAACTGCGATCTCCTGTAAACCGCGTTTGCGCGCGCGCAGCACCTTGTTTCGTTACATCTCGCACACAATCCATTATAAGTCTAAACCGAATGTTTATGCGTTCAGCCATGGCAGCGGTTTACATTGAAAATAATCTCGAGTATGAGGACTATGGTTTCAACTTCAGTTGCCGACTGGATGATCGTGATTAATCGGGAACGATCGAAGTTTCAAAGATCCTCCCTTTTGATCTCGCGAAATGTCCTCTCGGGTGAAATGCATCGCTAATATTTCTTGGCGAGGTAAAAACGAACAACCTACGATCTATTTAAGGGACCGCAGCTCCGAACGATCGGTCAGGTTATAGGAAATAGCGGAATCGGATAATATGTAAATGATCTTAAATAGATCACAAATATTCTGTCCGTCTCGCTGCTTTACGTCAAACAGACTCGATTAAACCTTTTAATCTTCGCTCGCGTGTGTTCAATTCCAAACGGACGACTAAACACGGCCCGTAGTTTTAATCGCGAAAGCTTTACATTCAACTACTTGCTCTTCTTCTTCGAGCGTGGCGGCTTCGCGATGGAGTTTTCGATCTTATCCGTAAAATTTGTCCCGTACTTTTCAGACGTTTTCTCCAGGAAGTCCTGCTGCGAAACCAACGTCACCCTGAAAGATAGCACAAAATTTTGTTTCCTCTTTTGAATTTACATTTATTTTAGAATTGAAATTATCGAATAAATGTAATTTAAAAAAAGCATTTAAAAATTAATATTTTAATGTTATTCTTGATTGATTGCTGCTTGTGATTTTCTACTAAACGCCTTAAATTTCTAAAACATTGCAAAGTTTGCAATGTTTGTTAAAAAAATGTGATTACAAAGTATGTATTGATCAGCATGACTCAAAAAGTTTCAATTCCTTAATTGGTTGCACCTTAATTGAGGCACGCTCAATGGTCGCAGAAGACTTTTTACGACAGGTGACGGTTTCGGCAGAGCCGGACTGCTCGCGCACAGAGCCGCACTGGTGAGCTGTGACACTAAAGAGAAGGTTCGATCGGGGCTGGAGGTGGTGCGGAAGACTTTTCTTATTTTTGACTTTAGTCCCGAGGGTTGCGGCAGAGGCGTTGCAGGTATAGGCGTCACCTGGCACAGTTTGTAAGAATTACGTCTACCAAAAATACGAAAGAAATCCGATTAAGAGGAGACTTGACATATCGCGCTATTTACCTTCCCTTGTAAGACTTTCGCAGCGAGCTCAGGCTCGCTACCCCAACGACAGGATGTCGTTCTCTCCAACAGACGATGTCTCGCGAATCTTTCAATCATCTCGGCGCACACGTACCTGCCGCAAAACCTCGCCCATTGTTCAGCTCTCAGGCCTCTACCGTGATCGCGTAGTGTGGGATTTGCACCTAGGAATTCATAAAAATAATTCTCAGGCAGCGTAGATGATAAATTTAAAGAAATATTCTGTAATCCTCCGTAATTCTATTTTTTATGATATCCTCCGTAAAATGGGGTAACTCTTTATTTCAATATTGATTAGAAAGCAAGCATGTCAAAAAAAAAAAAGAATCAGGATATAAAATATTTCAAAAATAGTTCAAAGACAGTTTAAAACCCTCTAATGTCCTAATAGTGAACGTACCTGTTCTCCAAGATATTTTTTAAAATTGAGTCAAAGTTACCTCACTTTACTATTGAAAATTTATTTAAATGTTATAGATTTATTATATCAAATTAATATTTATATTTATTGTTATATTATTTTATTACATTATACATAATATATTATATTAAATCATTATCATCTTACATTTTAATTAAATTATTATTTAAAGTAAATTAGGATTAATTAAAAGATTAAACATACTAAATTACTTACTTGTGTGCCAGCTATTCAGACTTATTGTCTTACCAATTGTTATAACAGTTGGATTAAATTAAACTTATTAATTAATTATGGTCCGCATTGAACTACTTGCTTACCAGCAAACAGGAGAATCTTCGCGCATTTGGTTCTACCTTGAAGAGCGGCCTTCATGAGGGGCGTGAAGCCTAAGGTATTTCTGGCGTCTACCTCGATGTCCGGACATCTCTCCAGAAGAATGTTGAGGCATTCGGTCTGTCCTGTCCAGATACGTAACAGAGGTCATGTACTGACATCATCGATACTGATTTTATTCGCGTGCGAGACCTCACATATTTCATAACTCGTAATGTTTTGGCTCGGAACGTTTTCTCAGTACGCGTCATCGCGTAGCTGCGCGTTTGTTGCACGAGGCATGTTCGATGTTCTCCGCTATTTTCGGCGATTGTGCCACGCGATGGGATCCCCGTGTCATGCCAGTGCGAAAAATCCGCCGGCAGATTTGGTATTGGACGCATTTCCTGTATTTTCCGATGGCACTTATCGCTATTCCCTGCACATTGTCCCCATTTGCAGAAAATATAACAGGATTATAAGATCTTGGAGGATATTTACGTTTGACAGACAAGAGATTACTTGATTTAACGCCGATTAAATAAGCCGTTTCTCTTTTTCAAATATACTATCCGTGCATTTTTCAAATTAATATATTATATTTTTCTATGCTGTATGAAAAGAAGTACAATAAAAAAAATTAGCATTACGAAATAAAAAGAAGAAAGTACGGATTTAATAATCATTCACTTCTAATATATATAGCTACTTGTTATCTTCTCACTTTATAAGCCTTTAAACGCCATGAGTCATAAACCTAAATAAGCATCTCCTGAACTTTGTGCTGTTATCTTTTATGTTCATGATTAATCCGTATCATGATTAATCCGCGACTGTAACGGATGTATATTATATAGTTATTTTACAGCCACGTAGGCGTCTGCCACCTACCGAGGGGAAATGATTATGAAGCGAAAAAAGCAGAGATAAACATAGAGGTAAATTATATTCTAAACCATCCCTGAATAAACGCATTTTCAAGATTCCTACAAAAACTATAACACACCTTTGACTCCTATTTATTGCTACGTTTGTGCTGTACGATTGATGCAACACTTATTTTTGTCACTTTCTCTATGAATAAACGCGGCCATCCTACTCCTGTATCTCGCCAGATTCATTTTTGGAACATTCATTATAAATTGCCAAAGATGATATTCCGAGTTCCCTCCCCCCTCGAAAAAAAGAGAAAAATAAGCACGGAAGAGAAAAACATTTCTTTAAGATGTTTCTAGAGATATTTTAATTTGTCTGTAGAAATGCTCTCAACTATTGAACTATTCAAATATGAATCGAATGAAATTAGATTAAAGATTCGTATTATATTTGAATCTTCATAATTTAAATCCTAACTCAAAAATTTTGAATTTAAAAAGTACGAATAGAATTAAGTATATTTGTAATTATATACATAAACATAAACAATCTTATAAAATCATATTTCTAGCTAATAATCAAAATTATTTTTTACGTTTAGAAATTTTTTAATTATCTATATATTAAAATTCAATCTAACAATAATTAGGTCTTTAATTAAAGTTATGTTTTTCAACAATTCGATTTGATTTAATTAGATTTGGATATGTCAATTTGATTCAATTCAGATTCGAGCAAAGGAATAAAATTCAATTCAATTCTATAATAAATAATCACTAAATAATTAAAGCATTTAAGATCTGCTTCGAACGAAAATAGAAAATATTTCTACTTAATGAGAGCAGTTTAGTTCTATTCGGTACCAAAAGAGAGGTTCGTATATCTCTCTAAATAGTTTGCTATTCAAATAGTGTCTAAGATACTTTAATGCAATATCTAATACTATTTATAACCATATTATTATACTTAGGCAATCGTACGATTTCACTAAATATTCCTGAAATTCAATTCTGAGAAACTGCAGGATTAAACGGATTGATTCCCGCAATATATTATTGACATTTTTCCGGCATCGTACACGTAGATATAATTCTCATATAATTACAGTAAGGGTGCAGACACAATAGAAGGAATAAGAAATTAAGAGTAAGAAATAAGAAATTTCAACCTACAAATCGGATACATTGGAATAGTTTCTGATAGTTGAAATTTCTTATTCCTTATTTCTTCTATTGTATCTACGCCTTAACTTGATATTCGGGTGACATAATCGTTCACTCACCGGCCTGAGCGGCAAAATGGAGCGGTGTATTACCCTCATTGTCAGGCAGATTCGGGTCCACACCTTCAAAAGAGAGCGCCAGCTCAAGCATCGCCGCCGCACCGTTCCCAGCCATATAACTTATAGCCGTCTGCAATGATAAACAAATAATCCCCGAGTTAGTTTGCGTCGAAAGCACACCCGATTATGTAAACTCGCGTTTTGAGCGGAAAACATTATTCACCCCTCCCTCCAATATCAATGTCTCTTTTACGGCGTTCGACCGTGACATGAAAAAAAACCACGCAATCCCACAGCACTACATATTTCGCAGATTTTAATTCGGTAAATCGGCACTGAGATGACTAAACATGGTATGGGACGAATTTTAATTTTATACGGAAAAAATGATTTTGCTTTAAATTTAAGCTAGTGTTTATAATTTAGCTAGATATACATCTGAAAATATTATAA